GTTCCGATTGGAAAACTTACCGTTGAACTTATGACTTCGGACCACATTTTTACAGAAAAACTCAACTAAAGAGTCCTCCCAAGCCTTTAATTGATATTAATTAAATTTATGTAAGTGGTAAAATATCACATAAATGCCCTTATCTTTATAACGTGGTGCATTTTCATCTTCCTGATTTTTTCATCGTAACAAAAATCTACAAAACCTTTTTGAGTGTTAAAAGCATCATTTCATTTACCCAGAATTTATGTAGCTTTACAAAGGGTACGTCTTTGTAAGACAATCCAAAGTGAATTCCGAATAAAACGTGGTTGTTAGCATAATGGCTGAGATATGATGAATACGATAGTATTTTACTTGATTCATTTTCTTCTTCACTTACTTTCTATGCTCTCCATTTTATGGCGATTCAATTTTACAATGCCTTGAATTATTTGTGGGGTTCCTATGGAGAACATATATTCATGATCAGCATAAAATTCTTCAATTCGAATTATTCGAATTCGAATATCCAATAATTAAAATGACTGAATCCAAGTTGATTTTAGGTACATTATTCACCGGATTTTTTTCAAGTTTCATATTTCAATATTGAAATGGACTATGACGACCACGTTTTTGTATAGACCCCAATATAACGGCTATACTCGATATTTTTATACCCTCCACCTTGGAAAGGAGGGTATATTAACTTTGTCATTCCGTTTGTAACATCCTTAAATATTCGTCTTAGACCCCATAAAGTATATATATTCATAATCAGCATAAAATTCTAAGTCGATTTAACGATGTCCGTCTGTCTGTCTGTCCGTCTGTCTGTCTGTTGAAATCACGATACAGCCCACATTATTTGACGTAGAGCGTCAAAATTTAGCAGAGCTATTTGCATTGTGTCTAGGATGGTGGGTATTGGAAATGAGATATATCGGTCCACATTCTGGTATAGTCCCCATATAACGGTACCTCCCGATATTCGGTATTTTGATGATTTATGCCACATTTTTTCACGGATTTGTCTGGAAATTGGTATTTGTAGGTCATAACGGGTCCCTGAGCGTGTGGCAAAACATTGCATGTATAGGTCCACGTTGTGGTATAGCCCCCATATAAAAGTACCTCCCGATATTCGGTATTTTAGTTTTTTTTTTTTTGCCACATTTTTTCACGGATTTGTCTAAAAATGGTATTTGTGGGTCATAATGGGTTCCAGCTCCGGTGGCGAAACATTGCATGTAAGGGTCCATGCTTTGGTATAGCTCCCATATAACGGTACCTCCCGATATTCGGTAATTTGATGATTTTTGCAACCTTTTTTCACGGATTTGTCTGAAAATTGGTATTTGTTGTTCATAATGGGTTCCAGCTCCTGTGGCGGAACATTGCATGTAAGGGTCCATGTTTTGGTATAGCCCCCATATAACAGTACCTCCCGATATTCGGTATTTTTATGGTTTTTGCCACATTGCATGCATGGGTCCATGATTTGATATAGCCCCCATATAACGGTACATCCCGATATTCGGTATTTTTATGGTTTTTGCCACATTTTTTCACTGATTTGTCTAAAAATTGGTATTTATGGGTCCACGTTTTGGTGTAGCCCCCATATAACGGTACCTCCCAATATTCGGCATTTTAATGGTTTTTGCCACATTTCTTCTAATGTTTCTTTTACCCTAAGGTGGAGGGTATTAAAAGTTTGGCCCGGCCGAACTTAATGTTTTTTTACTTGTTAAGATTTTAGCAGAATTTTTAACTGATTTAATTTTTTTTGAAAATTTCTAATGGAGGAGGTTATTCAAAGTTCGGTCCGGCTACTGCTTGATTCCACCAACTAACAAAAAAGTTTTCATTCAAGAACTTTTAATAATTCGTAACTTTAATCTAACAATATTTCATTGGCCCTAATTCTCTGCGACGATTCTAAAGTGAATCGGAATTGGGAAAAAAACGAACAACGAAATTCGAATTGCAACAAACCCTGTTGACTGCAAAAGTAGATCAAAACTGAACTTGCCGTTTCTTTCCACTAAAAACTCTATATTAATTAATCGATGTTGAAATCAGAACTTTACTGCCTCTGACCGCCATCTGCACTGCTCAGGATTCCTGCATGAATAGCAAGTCAGTTGGGACAGCGCAGCGCGACATCGCAGGTCAGATCGAGAAAAACATGAATAGTTCTTTTTTCACTTTGGCAGCTTATCTCTATATTGAGGGATCCTTAAACAGTATCACCCATGTCTCCCAAAACTTGGTAGCGTCCAGCACCTAATAGAATGGACGCACTAGGGACGCACCACAAGGCGGTGTTTTCCACCATTATTGTGCTTGGTAGTGGAACAAACGCCGTTGCTTACGTGATTGCGTTGATTGCAGGAAAATGTTTGCAAACAATTTCTCTCGTTTAATTCTCATGGTGGGCACACAGCAAAGGGCTAGGCGTAAACTCACCTAAAACAGAGCTTATTCTCTTCAAGAGGAAATGTAGACTCTCTGAATTTTCTCCACCTATACCAGATGGTGTTCCGTTAGACCTTTCCTAAGAAGCTGAATATCTCGGCACTGTTCTCGACCACCATCTAAACTAGAAGAGGAATGTTGAGGAAGGCGAAAAGAGGAGCGAGCCACTCCTAAAAGAACTGTAAAATTTTATGTTGGAGTTAACAAAGAGGAGAGGGGATGTAATATCCAGAAGAAAATTTGGCCTACCCTCTCCGGGAAGAGAACGAGGCTCATCTGCTTGGCTTAGTACTCAAAATGCACAAATTGTTCATCGACTCTTGGACAATTTTTTTCCAAAACTAGTTCTTTATCTCAACCACAGACACCAAAAGTGACATCCAAATCAAATTTCAATACCATTTTTAGTACAAATTAGTGCTTTTCGTATAATTATAGAACACATTTCCAAAACCACCTTCATATCTCAAACACGGATACTACCAGTAATCTAAGTATCTAGTTTCAGGATTTTAGTTTTATTCTTTCACCCAATACCAAATATAGTACCATACAGTACTTTTCGCACAAATATTGAACTCATTTCCAACCACAGACACCAACAGTGACATCCATATAAAATTTCAGAACTTCATGTATGTTCCTTCACCCCATACCAAATTTAGTTCCATTTAGTACTTTTCGAACAATTATAGTACACATCTGCAGACCCACGCCCAAATCTAATACTCAGATGCCAATAGTCTTCATCCGTTGACCCCAAACAAAAGTGTTTCAATTTTAGTACCATTTAGTACAGTTCGCACACTCAGTACACATTTCAAAAACCACCTTCATATATCTAACATGCCTTCCAACCTTGATACTCATACCGAATTTATAGTGTTTTGCTCCATCCGTTCAAAAAATACCAAATGGTACCATTTTAGAACTTTTTGTGATCTTAAAGTTCGAATTTCCAAAACCCTTTGGAACAGCAACAGTGAGACTCAGTTCAAATTTCAGAATTCCACTTCCATCGGTTCACCACAATTCCAATTTGGTACCATTTAGTACACATAAGTACAAATATTCATAACAACCTGCATCACACAATCCAATAGAAATTCTATTTCCCAATATCAGGATTCCAGCCCTATCGGTTCACCCAAATCCAAATTAAGTACCATTTACTATAGATAAATACGAATTTACAGAGCTTCGTAAATACCCCAATACTGCACTCTCACGGTAATCCCAAACTCCAAATTTCGGAACACCGCCCAAATACAAATTGTACCAAATTTAGTACCATATAGTATAGATATGTACGAATTTCCAAAACTTCCAACATACTTCAGACCTAGTATACAATACTGATATTATTTCTAAATCTCAAAATCCCAGCTCTATCGATTTACCCTAAACGATATTGTACCAAAACTACCTCTTTACATCGACTCAACACCTCAACCTTGATTCCCAATCAAAATTTAAAATGTTTAGGTCTAAGTGTTCACATGATACGAAATGGTACCAAATGTAGTACATTTTAGCACTTTTCGTACATTTATCGTGAGAATTTCCAAAAACCCTTTGGCCCATCTATCATCACCTTTATCAGTGACCCTCATTCCAAATTTAAGAATTCTAGAAGTCAGTCAATTACATTACTCTTTTATTAATATAGATTGTTACAAAAAATCCTCTTGAGCTCAGAGAACGCTAGCGTGCACATTTTGACCTAACCTAACCTGGGCTTCTTGTGACACCTTGTAAATTCATCTTAATCATATGATTGCACGAGATTACTTCATATAATTGTTCCATGATATTCCTAGCATTCGCACTCTTAGCTGCGATGCGCATCATCAGTGTAGATAAGTAGTGGACTCCACACAGGACCCAATATAGAGATGTTGTTACTTTAGGACAATATCAAGAGATGGGCCAGATAGCGTTTCGCGGTTACATCTTTCTCATCTCTTGATATTGTCCTAATAGTAGCAACATCTGTAGGGAACAGGTCAAAGGTCATTGATGGAAATCACTTCAGCACTGATTTGTATGTTTCTACAGATGACACAGGCAATGTACACACGTGCATACCTGCATCATCAATGAAATTAGCCTCCAGTTACCACATTAACTTGAATCGCTTGTCCACTAGCGCAATTCGACTTTGTTTGCTGGAAACGACCGACGACAACTTAATATCCACTTGAGCATTTGAGATTGCATAAACAAATTATTTTCATAAGCGTTGATCTTTTCATCTCAAGGTGCTGGCTGCTGCGTGTTCACCGCCCAACGCTCCAGCCATCGAAGAAATTCCCATTTGGCCATACGAAAGTCGTTAAACTACTTGTCAAAACGAAAAACAAAACAACAACGACAACGACAATAGCTGTCGGTCAAGAGGAAACAGAGAGTAGCTGGCGATGGGTACATGTTAAACGATTATTGGGCGAATGCACACACAGCCAGCCATCAAGCTGGCTGGCTAGCCAACACACAAAACAATCGAACGGATGGGTGAGTGAGTGAGTGAGTGAGTGAGTGACGCACCTCAGTTGGTAATTGCCAACTAAACCTACCTCACTAACCCCAACGAAAAAAAAAAATACTCTATGCAGACCAAATCCGCTAAGACACACACAAGACTACAGTTTGGTGCCCAAACGAAGACTGCGATCAGTTGGCTTGTAACACTCAGCGTTAAGAGAGCATTGCGGACGGAACTAAAGAAAACAAAGGCGAAAAACTTCGTTACGCACAAACAATTGGAATAGCCTGGAGCAACAGCGGCCATTCGGACAACATTAATCGGACATTGGAATTGTTTTGATTCATATCCATTGATCGCTTGCTACGCCCATCAATCAACCAGTCAATCACTCCACACTAATCTACAGAGCGGCGTCATAACAGTGGAATACATCAGCATGCTGCAACGGCTTACGGTCACCATCACACTGCTGATTTGCTTAGCGGTTTTCGTTGTTAATGCCAAGGTCATTGCAAAGCCCAGTGATGGTTTGCCGCTAACCACCGCTCACAGCAGTGGCGCCAACACACCGAGACAACTTATTCTGGGATCTGGCAAGGAAACCACAGCGCCTGACTTCATACGATTGGTGGTGATGCGTCTGATCTATGGCCTGGCAACGACAATGGGCGTGGAAGAACGTCTGGAGGGGTTATTCAATGGCGCCTTTGTGCCACCAAATGCTGATGGAGATTTCTTCGGTTTTGGAGGTTTGGGTGGAGGTGGTGGCGAAGACGGTGGTCTGGGAGGTCTATTGAACCTGGTCGATTTGGAAGGTATCGTGGAAGGCGACAACTTATTCGATGACGGTGGCTTGTAACGCACCTCATCGCCCTGGATTGCGACGACGATGTCGAAATGTAGATCTAATTTATTATTAATTTATCCGTAATGTTAAGTAACTTATTTATTTATCTCTTTAATATTATTTATTTATAACTTTAGTTGTGATGTAATAAAGTGAATTCCGTTTATTTAGAGAAAGAGAAAAACAAGCCGTTGAAATTGAAAGTAGATGAGTTATGCCATCTGATCGGTCATTAAAGTTTAATGATGGGAACATGCAAAAATTAGAGCTGTTTATCGCCTTCATCTTCCCCAAAAGCCACAAGCTGATATGTCACATAAGCTCAGAAAGTCCGAGAGAAATGCCTGGGGGTGAACTACTTAACAGTAGTTGGCTCAGAGTCAATATGTCAACAAATACCTCCGTTCATTTGCTTGATCGCTTCCTCGCCCTTTCTCCCTACCCCCTCCCCCCCTCCATGTCACTCGGATAATTCACATATTTCGTCACAATCACTTTCTTTTTCTTTCGTTCGTCCGATTAAATCGTAAGGGTCTAAGAGGTGGGTAAACAAATAAACAGTAATTAGTATTCATAACCGTCGCCGCCTGCTGCATTCGTTCGCCAGCCAGCGGAGACCCAGCGACGATTATGTAAATTTTGTCACCTTTCTTGTCTTGATTTGTTTTGCTTGATGGCAGTTCGATTCTGAACACCAAGCCCATTTTACAAGCTAACATTTACTAACGAATGCAGGCATAACTTTGTCCACAAAAATGTCTTTCTTTTTATTAATGGCTGTAATATGCAACCGCGACATTAATATGCAAAATTACAACAACTTCGATTATTACTCAATGCGATGCGGCTTTTGTTGTGGCGTTTATTGGAAAGTGTTCTTCGGAAATGATATACCTACATGCCAGATATTGACCCATATTCACAAAAAAAGAAATGGAAATAAAAATATTCGCTACGACCAGATCATCATCTTCAGTCAATATTTACCCAGATCATAGTAAATATGAGTTTCGAAAGTGTGTTGAATCATAACCAAATAAATAAGATAATGGATCTGTGGGTTTTACACACACACACACACACACACAGACATCTATAAACTCATACTTATATATGCCATGTGTATGTAGGTGAAAACAACAAAAAGCTGAAAGACGATCAACAGTTATAATTTGTACCCATCATTAGAGGGAGGCCGTAACATATTATGTAGGTAAATTGGGCACAATACGAGGTAAGAGTACGTTTACACACACATTTGTATCTGGTTTAATGTGAAAATTGACCAATCACAATAAATTTGGCTATAGCTAACATATGTTTAAGTTATTGTGATTATTCAATTGTCCAGTTCAATCGCTTCTAAAAATGTGTATGTAATCGCGCATGATCCGAGTATATGGTCCCCTTCCAGCTCAGCTGATTACAAAACGATCTGTCAAAACAAATGACAACAAGTTAAAAAGCAGTAAGTTCGGCCGGGCCAAACTTTGAATACCCTCCATCATGTGGAGCGAATTTAGAAATTTAAAAAAAATCCCTAAAAAATTCTGTTAAATTTTAAAAATACCGAATATTGCCGTTATTTTGGGGTCTACGCGTCGTGGACCTGCACAGACAATTTTCTGTCTTAGGCTGTAGTATCCATTTCGAACTTCAAATACCAAATTTGAAACAATACCGGTGAATAATGTCGCTAAAATCATCAAAATACCGAATATCGGGAGGTACCGTTATATGGGGCCTATATGAAAACGTGGACTTACATGGCCCATTTACGAACTTAATCTGCCTACTGGAAAAATAAACACGTGTGTAAAATTTTAGCCTTCTATCTCAATTCGTTCGAAAGATAGCGTGATTACAACAGACAGACAGACAGACGGACATGGCTAAATCGACTTAGAATTTTAAGCTGATCAAGAATATATATACTTTGTTGGGTCTGACATGAGTATTTCGAGGAGCTACAGTATGGTGGAGGGTATAAAAATTGATTTTTACGGTTATGCGAAAATATTTGTTTGGTCATTTTAAATTTGTTGTAAAAATAACAAGTTAAAAAGCAGTGAGTTCGACCGGGCCGAACTTTGAATATTCTCCACCATTTGGAACGAATTTGTAAATAAAATCCTGAAAAAATTTTGGTAAAATTTTAAAAATACCGAATATTGCCATTATATTGGTGCCTATACGACGTGGACCCACACAGGCATTATTTGTCATGAGTCATTACCAAATTCAAATTCGGAACTTGAAATAAACGCGAATAATGTAGCTAAAATCATCAAAGTATAGAATATAGGGAGGTACCGTTATATCGGAGCTGTGCGAAGACCTGAACCTGCGTAGACAATTTTTTGTCATATTCTGTAGCATCCATTACGAACTTCAAATACGACATTTCAAACAACTTCGGTGAGTATTGTACCTAAATTCGTCAAAATACCGAATATAGGGAGGTACTGGTATATGGGGCCTATACGAAGACCTGGACCTGCATAGACAATTTTCTGTCACAGACTGGAGTTTCCATTACGAACTCTAAATGCGTAATTTGAAAAAATTTTGGTGAATAAAGACGCTAAAATCACCAAAATACCGAATATAGGGTGGTACCGTTATATGGGGGCTATACGAAGACGTGGACCTACATGGCCCATTTACGAACTTAACCTGCCTACTGTAAAAATAAACCTGTGTGCAAAATTTTAGCCTTCTCAATTCGTTCGAAAGATAGCGTGATTACAACAGACAGACGGACAGGCAGACAGACGGAATGCCGAATATCGGGAGGTACCGTTATATGGAGCTTATACGAAGACGTGGACCTGCACAGACGTTTGTCTGTCCGTCTGTCTATCTGTTGTAATCACGCTATCTTTCGAACGAATTGAGATACAAGGCTAAAATTTTGCACACAGGTTTATTTTTACAGTAGGCAGGTTAAGTTCGTAAATGGGCCATGTAGGTCCACGTATTTATATAGTCCCCATATAACGGTACCTCCCGATATTCGGTATTTTGATGATTTTAGCGACATTATTCACCGGATATGTTTCAACTTTGGTATTTGAAGTTCGAAGTGGATACTACAGCCTAAGACAGAAAATAATCTGTGTAGGTCCACGTCTTCGTATAGCCCCCATATAACGGTACCTCCCGATATTCGGCTTTCCGTTATATCGCTAAATCGACTTAGAATTTTACGCTGATCAAGAATATATATATACTTTGTTGTGTCTGACATGAGTATTTCGAGGAGTTACAAACGGAATGACAAAGTTAATATACCCTCCATAGTATGGTGGAGGGTATAAAAAGAATAACATACATCCAACAAATCGCAATAAAAATTACAAAAAGAAATAACTTGTTTTTTCGTCCCCACGGATGAAGAAATGAGGGAAAATGGAGTACACTTTGTCAAATGAATTTTACACCCACATCACGGGTGCTTTCGAACCACTTCAACATGTGGTAAAATCCGGAAACAAATATACAGTAGCTCCAAGCCAAACTCGTACACTTAGCAAACAATTTTCTTTCATGCAATATATGATTGTTTTCAAATTCACTACCAGAAGAAATCTACATTTTATACCCTCCACCCCACTATGGAGGGTATATTAACTTTGTCATTCCGTTTGTAACTCCTCGAAATACTCATGTCAGACCCAACAAAGTATATATATTCTTGATCAGCGTAAAATTCTAAGTCGATCTAGCGAAGTCCGTCTGTCTGTTGTAATTACGCTATATTTCGAACGAATTGACACATGTTTATTTTTCCAGTAGGCAGGTTAAGTTCATAAATGGGCCACGTAGGTCCACGTTTTCATGTAGCCCCCATATAACGTTACCTCGCAATATTCGGTATTTTGGTGATTTTAGCGACATTATTCACCAGAATTGTTTCAAATTTGGTATTTGAAGTTCGTAATGAATACTACAGCATATGACAGGAAATTGTCTGTGCAGGTCCACGTCTTCGTCTAGCCCCCATATAACCGTGCCTCCCTATATACGATATTTTAATGGTTTTAGCGAGATTATTCTCCGGAATTATTTCAAATTTGGTATTTAGAGTTCGTAATGGGAAGTACAGTCTGTGACAGAAAATTGCCTATGCAGGCCCACATCTTCGTATAGGCCCCATATCTCAGTACCTCTTTATATTCGGTATTTTGACGATTTTAGGTACAATACTCAACGAAATTGTTTGAGATGTCGTATTTGAAGTTCGTAATGGATGCTACAGCATGTGTCAGCAAATTGTCTATGCAGGTCCAGGTCTTCGCATAGCTCCGACATAACGGTACCTCCCTATATACGGTATGATTTTAGCTACATTATTCAACGTTTATTTCAAGTTTCGAATTTAAATATGTTAATGGCTTATGACAAACAAAGCCTATGTAGGTCCAGGTATTTTTTAAGATTTTAACAGAATTTTTAACGGATTTTATTTTTTGAAAATTTCCAAAATTCGTTCCATGAAGGGTATTCAAAGTTCGGCCCGGCCGAACTTACTGCTTTTTAACTTGTTTATTAGTGTATAGGGTACTAGAACGAGCCAGCTTCACCCGATTGTTGGAAAAAGTATTTGGGGAAGTCCCTAAAAGCTAATTTATCACAAATTTCCACGTGACGTAAGTATTGAATAAAAAATGGGAAGACAACCACTGTTGAAGTAAGAAATTTAATAATTAAATATTACAAAAACCAAAAATCGCTAAGTGAGATGTCTGAGATTGTTAATAAAAGCCGATCTACAGTTCAGTACATCAGAAAGCGGTTCGAAACAGATTGATTTGTAGAAAACAAGTCAAAAACGGCAAATAGTAAAATATTTACCTTGAGTGATGAGAAGTATATGTTACGGCAGATCAAAAAGGATCCATTTCTAAGTGCGCCGAAGCTCACAAAAATTATTGAAAAGGATTTGGGAAAACAAACAATAAGACCTATACTGCATAAGTCGAATTACAATGGAAGAAAAGCTAGACATTAAGATTTAATCAGCAAGCGAAATCAAGAAGTAAGATTGCAATTTGCCGAGGAGCACATATCGAAAGATTTACCCCCTGGTAAACATTACCATTGTTCTCCACTAATAAACAAACGTTGTTTTTTATAAAAATAACAATAAAGGAATTAAGCCTGGACATTTTGCAACAACAAAAT